TGCTCAGCTCGGGCTGGACTCGAACCGCTGTTGCTCAGAGCTCAAACTCTTGAGCGAGCTCTTAACCAACTGAGCCACTCGGCCGGCCCCTGCTCCAACTTTTAACACCACTACTTTATGATGTTAATAATTTTTGGTTAAAATAGGGAACTAATATATTTTAAAATTGTCTTCTTAATTCAGGGAGCTAACACCTAGATGCGGAGGAGGGCGTAGGACTCTTTCCCTCATACTAAGTGTCCCAAGGCTCTTAGAGTAGCTTAGGTCTAGGTGTTGGGTGTTTATATGTTTCCTTTTTTCTTTTGTAGCTCTAAACATCTGGCTGTCTATCTGGCTGCATATCTCAGAGCTGGCAGCACCTCCCTTCATGTTGCTCTTTCCTGCTGTAGTTGTCTTTTGGTACCTGCAGAGGATTGGTTCCAGGACTCCCTTGGATACCAGAATTATCAGATGCTCAAGTCCTTTATTTAAAATGGCATGGTATTTGCTTATAACTTATGCACATCCTCCAGTATACTTGAATCATCACTAGATTTCTTAACAATACCTAATACAACGTGCTATGTAAATAGTTGTTAGACTGTGTTGTTTAGGGAATAAAGACAGGAAAAAAGAGTCTCTACATGTTCAGTACAGATGCAACCATTATTGGCCTAACTACAGCCTAACTACGTAGTACACGTCAGGGACAACGTAGCTTTCTTTTAGAATATTTTAATCCACAGTTGGTTGAATCCGTGGATGTGGAACCCGGAGATACGGAGGGCCACCTGTACTTCGCTATTGTCTGAGGAACCAGATTATTGAGTTCATTTGAGCACGTGTAAAGTTAGAACCCAATTGGGTAGCCCTTATAATCGTGCCAAGTAAAGCAAATGGGCCTTCTGACATTTAGATTCTTCCAGACTGTTCTTAATAATATGTGTTGGTATGGATTTACATTTATTTCCTTTCACATATGTTCAGGTGAGGTAAGTAGGGTCGATTTGTTCATTTCATAAGTTACTGAACTTCAGAATACCAGGAGCTGCCAAACAATGAGGCTCTTAACAGCGCAAAAGATAAGGTCCTTGCCCTCATGGAGTTAATAACCTGGTAGAGTAGATAGATAATAAACAGGTAAAATAAGTAACAGATTGTGGTGAGGGCTGTGAAAGCAACCAACAGGGAAAAACCAACTGAGAGAAAAAATGAGGGCTTACCTGCTTCAGGTAGAGTCATCAGGGCAAGCCTCACTGAAGAGGTGACACACTACCCAAGCTTATTTCTTAATAACTTCATTGTGGTATAATTCACATTCAGTAAAATTCACACATTTTATGTGTACAAGTCAATGACTTTTGACAGATGTAACCACCTCCATCCTCTCAATCAAGATATAGAGCATTTGTCCTCCCAGAAAATTTCCTCTAACTTGCTGCAATTAGTCTCTACCGCATTCCCCACTCCAGACAACCATGGATGTGATTTATTTCATTATACATTTGTTTTGCCTGCTTTGGAATTTCATATAAATGCTTTCATATTACATATGTATTCTTTAGTGTCTGACTTCTTTCATTCAATATAATTATTTTGACACTCATCCAGTTATAGTATGTATCAGTTCTTTTTTGTTGCTGAGTAACATTTAATTGTAAGAATATACCACAGTTTATTTATACCCTTTCAGCTAATGAGTTACTCTAGCTATCTTGTACTTACTGTTTAGATAGTTTATCCTCATGCTTCCATCCTGTGTATGTCTTGATGTTTAAAATGTGTGTCTTTTAGATAGCAAGCATGTGGTTGGGTCTTGCTTCATTATCCAGTCTGGCAATCTCTTCCTCTTAATTGGGTGGTTTGGTCCTTTTTAATGTAATTATTGATGTGGCTGGGTTTAAATCTACCTTCTGGCTATTTGTTTTCCATTTGTACCTCTTGGGCTTTGTCCCTTCCTTGGTCCTTTTCTGCCTTCTTTTAGGTTAATCAAAAATTTTTTACGGTTCCATTTTTATTGCCTCTATTGGTTTCTTGGCTAAACTGCCATAATGGTTTTATGTCATGTTAGTGCAGATACATGGACAACTGAGGGTGTTTTTAGGCCCCTTTAAGTTGGTGGGATGCAGCCCCAGCCAAGACCTTTCTGTCTTGATGGGGAAAGTTGTTGCAGCTCTGTGGCTTCTGACCACTTGTTCAATCGTCTTTCTCCTGACTTCTCCCTTCTGGGAACCTCAAGTACTCAGGAAGCCTGTTTCCTGATTAAATGGGCTGGTGTTTTGTTACTCATCTTTATTAGCTTTTGGATTATGGTATATATCTGGAGAAGTCTATATTACTATTTATTACTTTTGCTTGAGTGTCCTGGATAAGTACAGGCCAACTCCAGCTCATATACTGAAAGTTTTCTCAGAGTTGAGTTGATTGTAAGCATTTCCCATAGAAATTTTGTTAGCGGTGGCCACGTGTGCGCTCTCCCCTTGATTCTGAGTACTGGTGGCCCTGAAGCCCTGGAGGTCAGTGGCTGCTGTGGAGAACAAGGCTACAGACAGGTGAGGAGGAGTCTCTTGGGTGTGGAGGCAAGAACAGGGATTATTCAGACACGCTTGTCCCCTGCTCTCCACTGCCTCCCTCTGCGCCTGGGGAGACAGTGTTTGAGAAGAGTTCCCGGCATACTCATCCTCTCAGCCACGTGTGGCCTTAGCACAGAGTATTACTTTTTTACTTCAGTACAGTGTTTTGGGGACTCCATTTTCTCATTCAAAAGAAGACTTAAAAGCTTCCTTTTCCTTCCACACAAAGATGTCGTTAGAAGATAAACTCAGTGATCTTGTTTGTGTTTGCTCTTTTTTAGTCGAGCAAAAGATGTGACAGTACCAGCAAAGCCACCTGTCAGCTTTTTCTCCTCGAGGTCTCCGGTCCTGGACCTCTTCCAGGGTCAGCTGGACTATGCGGACTACATTCGCCGGGATTCGGAGGTGGTGCTGCTCTTCTTCTACGCCCCGTGGTGTGGACAGTCCCTCGCTGCTCGGGCAGAAATCGAGCAGGCAGCAAGTCAGCTCTCAGACCAGGTAATGCTGACGTTCGGCCTAAGAGTCCAGTGGGGCCTGTTGCAGGGCTGGTTGTCCCCAGAAAGACACTTGACCCAGCTGGCTGAGTTTGTCAAGCTACAGGCCAGCAGCCCTCGGTCAGTTGGAAAGCCTTCTCTAGAGAAAGAAAGGATTTCAGATTGTGATGCTCGTAGCCGGTAAGTGGCAGGAGCGGGAGCAGGTTCTGCCTCTCGTGACATGGGCCGGCGCTCACCACTGCTGAAGTGGGTGGGGACTGAAAGTCCCGGTGGAATATCCCTTTGATATTTGCTAGTAAGGTATTTTATTTAGGAGGAATTAATGCATAACTAGTATAATGTAGCAGGCTGACCTTTTTTTCTTTTTTACGATTTTTATTGGGGAATTAGGGGATGGGAACAGCGCTGGGGAATTGGGAGAAGGGGAACAGACAAGTTGCTGTCCTTTTTTGGTCTTCAGTCTAGTTGTGGAGGACGTTGCTTCACTGGCCCAAGTTGGCACCATCATTGTGCTCTTCCTGGGCGAGGCAGATCAGTTGCCGGCTTCTNGTTGTGGCGGCCTCCGCCGGGGGAAGTCGGACTTGACTTTGCCCGGAGCGAGGGACTTGACCCTTCCTCCCCCAGCCTGCGGCTGTGCGGGCCCCCGTTCCCTCTCCCTGGCCGGCCGGCCGGCCGGCATATGGTGAGGTTTTCGGGTGCCGCTGGGCCTCCCTTCATCCCATCTAGCACCGAGGGAGACGGGCCAGGGTCTGAGCTGCTCAGCGGGCGTTTCTTGGCGGTGCACCTGTCACTTCTTCCCAGGTTGTAGGATCTTCCTTCATCACCCATTTTGTTTCCCTTATGCCTCGAGTGTAGTGATTCACGACTCATTCGAGCCCCAGACCCCCTTGAGAATCCACGCGCTCGTGGATTTCACGATTTTTCATCCGCAGCTACTGTGTGTGGGGGGCCACTCGTCCAGGTGAGCGGGGAAGAGAAAACTTCCTGCTCTCCACTCCGGTGGGTAGGACAGGCAGTAAACAAGTCAACTTCATATAATTTTAAGGGACTTCTGTTCTGTGCTGTACAGGGAATGGAAGCAATGAGGGCGGGGCAGAAAGGCTTTCTGAAGGAAACCCCATAGGAAGCTTACACAAGAAGGGGAAAGGGCCAGAATTGGGAAGATTAGGGAAAGAGTGTCCGAGGTAGAGGAAATCGTAAGTGCGGAGGCCCTGGGGCCGGACAACGCTGACATTTTTCCTGGGCTGGGAAAGCCTGAGTAGGCTGGTGACTAATGAGCAGGACAAGGTGAATTCATGTGCCTCTCTTTGAGAAAGTACACAAGTATAAAATTTACTTTAAATCTCAGGCGTACTTTTGGCCCCCCCAAATCCACAGTATACCTCCCGGGACTCCCAGTGTATATAAGTCCATGTTGACGCTGACTGGCGTGTTACTATTAGTCAAGAGAAAGATTTCAACTTGCAACATTGTTATTGAGTACGGTAAGGGCAGTATGTAGCCCTTATGGTCAAAGAGGTGTCAAAGGATTGGGGATTTGAGTGGGAAGAGAACAGATTATAACTGTCGTTGAGCATTTGCATGTGCCAGGTGTTACCCTGCCAGCAGGGTTTCTCAGTCTTGGCGCTGTTGATACTTTGGGTCAGATAATGTTTTGTTGTCGGGCTGTCCTGTCCATTGTAGACTATTTAGCAACATCCCTGACTTGTATCTACCAGACGCCAGTAGCACCCCCCCCACCCCACGCCCCCAAATGTGACAACCAGAACTGTCTCCAGGTATTGCCAAATGTCCCCTGGGAAACAAAATTGCCTGCTTGAGAACTACAGCTTACACGATAGCATTCATTCATTTAACATAGAACCTGACAGCCTAGTCGTGGATCATTTAAATCTCAGTCCCCAATACGGTCTGGATATATTCTTTCTCTTCCAATTTACAGATAGCGGAGTTAAGCTTTGGTCATGTTTCAAAACGCCCCAAATCACACCCACCTTTAGGTGGCTGAGCTCAAATTTGAATTCTTTATTGTCAGGGTAGGCCCTTAATCTTGCTTTTTATCATGTTCCTTTATCAGGGAAAGTACACAAACTATTTTATAAGATAGAATAATTTCAAGGTGGCATTTGGGTTCAAATTAGGAAGAGAGGTGCCTACTGACATTAGCTTGTCTGTCTATAGAAATAACCCTTAGTGTTTGTTCTGAGTGAACATGACTTAATAGAAAGTCCTTTGCGATCTCAGGAAGAAGGAGTGTAAATCCAGTTGCTAGAGCAGTCAGAGCGGATCCCTCCCTGCTTCAAGCTAGGAGAGTGAGCCAGCGGCCTATCCAGCTCCTTTCTGTGCCACTGGCACATTGGACAGTCTTTTAATAGACTCGGATTGATTTTTTTAGAGACCTATTTGATTGAATGGTGTCATGATACTATTTTATTGCTGTACAACTGACTCAAACACTTCTAGCCCCCTTTTCCTAGTTTTCTTGTAAGATCTTTGCATCATTGAGCACAAAGGCTTAAGGGAGAGTAGGATTTTCTTTTTAATTTAATTTTTGTTGATAGCTCCAGGCCTGAAGTAAGTGACAACCCTCTTCAGTGTCTGTTGCTTGGCTGAGTTCAAACCAGATAGCGTAAAAAAGGTTGATTTGGGGTTGAAACAAGTAATAATTGTGCATTTCTGGGCTTGTAGTCTCTGTCCTACCGGCCTTTCTGTGCACTGAATCTCCATGACTTCACCCTCTTACTTTCCTTTTACCCTGATTTGGAGGAAAAAATAGTGTGTGTATCTGTTCTATATGCGTGTGTGCATACACTCCGTTTGCTTCATTGCATTTTGTAATTTCAAAGCTGCTTCAGATCCTCTTCGGGAGGAGGTGTACGGTCTAACTCTTGTACAAATATTGGGAATTGGAACAGGTCTTTCTTACTTGCAACCAACTCTTGACTTTTTTGTACCTGAGACTTAGACTTGAAAGATGCAGGAAATCTTTTATCTAGGTATAGTTTCTTAAAAACGTTTAAGAGTTAAATGGAAACATGTGAATGCTTCTGATGGCGCAGAGGCATATGTCTACCTTCCCTGGTTAATGTTTGCTTTTTGATGGGCCACGTATTTCATCTGGCGTGTTTACTTTCAGGACTGCTCGGAGCATGCCACGCAACAATACTTAGTTGATGATTATCCTTTGCCTGTCACACACACCTATATTTCCCCTTAGATTGCATTATTTGACACTTAACATGCAGTTGGAATTGGAATAGTAGAAAAATAATACCTCCAAAAAGCAGAATTTTGGAGTTCTCGAAAATGTGTCACTCTTTCACAGCAGGGCCCTCCTCACCCCTTTGCCTGGTCTCAGCTTAAAAGATACCACCCTGATCACCACCTCATCAGAGGAGCTTCCAGGTCCCCTGTCACATCACCTTGTTAAATTTCCCACACAGCAGTGATCCTTTTGTGTGTTGTTATTGTTTGTTGTTTACATGTTTATTTGGTTGTTTGCCTGTCTTCCTCCCTGAGAAAGTGAGCCCCTTAAGAACATATGTTCACTGCTATCACCTTGGTACCAAGTACAGTGCCTGAAACACAGTAAGGTTTTCTCAGTGAATGTTTTTTGAATCTTTCAGTGACAGCTTTTCAGGTTGTGAAGATATTTTACATAGACAAAGCTCCCTGATTAGAGGGTTAAAATGTTAGAGTGAATTAATAGATTTGCTCCAACTTTTTTTTTTTTTTTAGCTGAGCCATCCTGCTACCTATTGGC